AGGAGAAGTACAAGTCCCTGTACTTCAACCTTTGCCCCTATGTCTTGTAAAATTAGATGTATGCTTGAAATGAGAATCTCAGGATAGAGCTCCTCAAAGTCTACTTAATCAGATTCTTCTAAGAGTCCTGGAAAATTTGTGTAACCAATGAAGAGCTTAATGGGAGCAAACTAAGAAATCACGGCTTGAGTTTCTACAATACTTTTAAAAGGAATGGTTCTAGAGTGAGTTACAACCCACTTCTTCCGGGAGAATGAGTCATAGGGGTGTGATCAAATTAAAACTGGAGTCTATCTGGACAGTGGCAGGCACATTTCTCAGATGGAGATGGTAGAATCTTGAGGATGTTATTCATGCCTCTCAACCCAATTGTCTGTCCTCATGTTTAACAGCTAAATGTAGGATTAGATTTGTTGGACCTGACTCTGGACAGAAAACACCATTTCAAGCATCGTATTACAATGAATTCTGGCAAGAGAAGACCTGGATACAATGTAAAACAGTCTGGAGGCCTTATTGGAGTAAGAGTCAATAATGTGATTTGTCTGTTGATATAATGTAAAATTTATTTTTTTAAATAAAAAGTACTTAATTATCTAAGCATCTTATAGTAAGCTTTCTTCCAAGATAAGGAAATGTTCAATGTCTCCAGATTTCTAGATAGGACTTATATCTTACATAGATTGTGACAATGATGAAGTCTGGTCTCTTAATTTTCTTTACATGGAGTATCTAAACAAGCTTTCTACTCGGAGTGAATTGGTCACCCTGGGTGGGGTGTTCTTGATCAGAAGTAGCAAACACATAGTAGACATTCAGCCATTGTTGTTGAGTAGGTAACTGAATGATTGAGATAGACCTGACAGACAAGTTAATTGGATTTTCCAAATCTCCCCACCTGCCCCAACTCCCACCTTACACACACATACCTACCATTTGAGATGGCTTTAAGAATCCAAGAGACTGTAAACTGCTCCAGATTCCAAGGTGTTTTAGACCAAAAGCTTAGTAAATATTTCCTAAGTCAAAATCACACAGGCTGTATTCATTCAGCCTGTGTTACTACTTTGGAACAGTTGCTTTCTGTAGCAAGACACTCAGCAGTTGTAAGTAAGAAATAGGGCTCAAGTGGAAAATATTTGTAAAGGGAACAAAAGCAAATGGTGTGTTTGCCAATGACATCTTAGAGAACCAGTGAGTATTAAAAGAGGGAAAACAAAGAGCTTAATATTATAATATGCTTTTCTTTCAAGCACACACATACAACAAAAATAAGGCAAGCCCCTTTCAGGGGAAACATTTCTGGAAGAAATAATTACTCTATACTTATTGCTGCTGGAGTTATGGCTCAACAGGAGAGTAGAAGGTACAAGGCAATGAAGTAAAGCTTCAAGGGGGGACCAACAGGCACTGAGCAATTTACAAAGGGCTCAGATTGTTCTACCTGAAAAGAAGAGTGTATATTTTAAAATATCACATTTAATTAACACTTGAAGAGAGAAACCTAATGGCTCACACCAGTGATTCTAGGCAGCTTTTGTATGAAACCGATGAAGGGGAAAAAACCTGATTAGGCACTGGCCTTAAGCACAGTTTCCTTGGATTTCCTTTTTCCTCTTTACTGTATAATAACATGGATGAAAATTAGTTCTGACAGCTAATCAGAGTGAGTGGCCCTTTCTTTTGCTGGAGTGGTTAACAAGTACTATGCATTGTGCCAACACACCATACAGCTGAATGGATGTAGGAAGGAAAGAACTGATTACTTATTTCATGACAGGCAGCTCTGTACCTCCCTTCAGTTGAATTAAAAGGATCCTGTGGTACTAAGATCTGTTATATGTCTGAGGGCAGCCTCTTGGAATGTCAGAATCCAGCTCTGCAAATATGATGACTTCTCTTCCTCCCATAAGTATTCAAGTGCCTCCCTTGCCCCCCAGTCCCTGTCTAATGCCTCCCACTCATAATTACTTCTACTTCTCATGTGCATTGGAAATCTGGGCTATAAAGATAAAGTGTGGAACTAAATTTAGGCTGTTGAATAATAAAGCAGGAAGTAGCTAAAGACAGAAAAACAAAATCAAACCCAACTCTTTTAAAGAGAATTGCTTGGGACCCAGGGGGTTTGCTCAGAAAAGGACAAGTGTTTGTATATAATGGACAGATGTGAGTTAAGGTCATTCCAGGTGAGCAGGTAGGTGCTTCCCTCCCCAAGGGGTGTCCTTTACTTGGTTGGAATGAGTTTGTTTGCCTCAGCAAGAGGGTTTTTTTTTCTAGTTTGAAATGCAAAAGAATGATCATTGCTAAAAGGGCTGTGATGGAATGAAATGCATGAAAGATCTTTAAGACTCTCCCTAAGAAGACTGTGCAAAGGGGTACAATAATTGCCCTGCCAATTAAAAATAATAGCAACAGCCAAAGTGGCCAAAGGGTAGTATTTGGGCCAAACACAGCCCACGGGATTCCAAAACTTGCCCTAGAGCTGAGTCTCATTTGAAATCCCAAGGAATATCCCTGAGACTACAGCTCCTGACACATTTCCTTTCTAGGATAGAAGCCAGAGGAAATGGTTCTGGATTAAATAGGGCAACATGACAAGCCACGACCTGAACCATGGCAGCTCCCTCTTAGCTGAGAGTAGCCCCATCCAAGCTAAGCAATGGGGTACTTGGTCATGCCCCAATAGACTCTTGGCCAGGCTCCTGGAAAGTCTCCTTTTTAAGTTGTACTTTGAGGGAGGAGTGGACACTCATATTCTCCAGGCCAGTTTTCCTTGGCTCTCTGGAGGGATATGAACCCCTGAAATAAGAGTGACCCTTCTTTAGCACAAATATCCTGATTTCAGGGCTCTGTTTTGCTGTGTCCATGCAGGTAGCTCAAAGAGAAAAAGGAAAAAAAAGCCCTTGAAATCACTTTAAAAATGCACTGGCTACATTTTGGCTGGAGGTACACTTGCTCTTTTTTATTTTTTTTAAATTGTGGTAAAATACACATAACAGAAAGCTTGTATTTCGTTTTATTTTACAAGTCAAAGACATTAAGTACATTCATAATGTTGTGTGTCCATCACCACCATCTAGTTCCAGAATGTTTTCATCACCCTTTAAGGAAACTTGTACCTATTAGCAGTGATTGCCCCATTCTCACCTTCCCCGGCCCCTGACCTCTACTAATTTCTTTCTGTCACTATAGATTTGCCTCTTCTGCATATTTCATACAAATGGAATCATACAATATGTGACCTTTTGTGTCTGGCTTCTTTCATTTGGCATAATGTTTTCAAGGGTCACCCATGTGGTAGCATGTTTAATACTTCATTCCTTTTATGGATGAATGATATTCCAATGGCTTGTTCATTTATCAGTTGGTAGACATTTGGGTTGTTTCCACCTTTTTCATATTGTGAATAGTGTTGCTATGAACATTTATGTACAAGTTTTTATTTGAACATTTGTTTTCACTTCCTTTGAGTATATGCCTAGGAGGGGAACTGGTAGGTCCATGTGACAGTTCTATGCTTAACTTACTAAGAGATTATTGAACTGTTTTCCGTAGAGCTTGTACCATTTTACATTTCCCTTAGCAATGTGTAAGGGTTCCAGTTTCTCCACGTTCTCACCAATACTTGTCGTTTTCTCTATTATTATTGCCATGCTTATGGATAAAAAGGTGTATCTAATTGTAGTTTTGATTTTCATTTTCCTAATGATGAAGGATGTGGGGCATGTTTTCCTGTGCTTGTTCATCATTTAGATACCTTTTCTGGAGAAGTTCTTTTCCTATTTTTAAATTGGGTTGTTTCTGTCATTTTGTTTTTGAGTTGTAGTAGATCTTATATATTCTGAATATTAAACTCATCAGATTTACAAGTATTTCCCCCCATTTAGTGGGTTGTCTATTTACTCTCTTGATGGCCCTGTTTTTAAAGAGAAGATACCAGACAAAACATTCAGATGCTTTGGGAAAAGACTTGCCAAATAGGACAGCAGCAGCTATAAGAGTGTGGTAAGGGAAGTCTCCTTGCTGTTATTATTTTTTCCATTAGGCACCCCACATCCCCAAAGTTTTAATTATACCAACAATATGCTGTATAAAGACTCCATGTACCAAACCTCTTCATACCACACATTTGTTAAATTTTGTTCTAGAAAGCTTTGGGGCCTCCACGTGGGTGTCTCTTGGACCTGGCCCTCAAACAGATGGTCAGTAGAGAATCTAGATCTCTGGGGCCAGCAACCTCACCAACCAGGGAAGCTCTGCTTCGATATCTTTTGTAACTTGGGGCGCAGGTGTAGGACTTTGAAAGAAAGAGGCCTCTAATGCTTTCAAAGTGTTTTAAAATCACTGCTAAATCATGCTATGCCGAGGCAGAAAACCCCAAAGCTCTTGTAACTTCTTGTAAAATAGAAGTTTAGTTAATGGAATATTGATTCTAAATGGGGAACTGTTGTTCAATGGATGTAAAGCTTCAGTTATGCTGAATGAATAAGTGCTGTATAAGATATCTGCTGTACAATGTCGTGCCCATAGTTAACAGTATGGTATTATGCACTTAGAATGTTGTTAAGAGGGTAGATTTCATGTTAAGTGATTTTACCTCACACACACACAAAAAAGGCTAAGGGACACAAGAAAACTTTGGGAGGTATTAGATATGTCTATTATCTTGAGTGTGGGGATGATGGTATTATAAATGTTTGCATGTCTGAATTTATCAAATTGTACTTGTTAAGTATGTTTTTTGTATATCGATTATACCTCAATAAAGCTATTTTTTAAAAAGGAAAACTGTTCTTAGCTTCATTGAGAAACTCATTGTGTTGTGTCTGCACACACCCTCACCCACACACTCCCACACTCTTCCTCTGTCACCCTATCCCTGCACATTCCTACTCGAGGTGGATGATGCCAACTCTGGAGGGAGTTGCCTCTGAACTCCCACTCACACACACACACAAAAAGTGGCTCTTGACAGCTGCCGCACCCACACTTTCTGGCAGTCTCAACTATCACCATTCATTAGTTAGGTATGTTGCCTGCTCACCTTTGATAGCATTCTCACAGGCTACCAACCTAAGACACCCTCCAAACCAGAGCCATCCTTCTGGTTCTTTTGTTTTTCAATATGCAAAATGAGTTACCACCAACAAATGAAGGAGACCCTCGCTCTTTGTCATCCTGAGTCATAATGACTGTATTCGAGAAGACAGCCATTCAGAAGGTGAAGCCAAATCTTAAGAAAAGTAGCTTGCAGGTGAGTGTCTGCCCAACCTGACAATTACTTGGAGAGGGGGCTGCGTGACCAGGTGAGAAGGCAGTGGGTTGAGAGGGTAATGAGGCTGCTGTATCCACATAACATTTCTGATCTTCAGCAGGTCTCACTCAGCAGGCAGGTGCTCTGGGCCTAGAAATCCTCTATGCACAGGAAGTTGGGCTTGGTCTTGAGCTCTCTACCTCCTTTCCCCTTCTTAGGAGACTCCAGCAATCCGGGACAATCCATGCATGTTAGAGTCAGCATCAGAGGTTCATCACTGTGTGAAGATGAACAGTTACAGAGAGGGAGTGGGTGGGAAGGGACATGGATTTGTGTAGCTTCTCAGAATTGCAACTTGGGTTTCTGAACATTTATCTTGTGTGTCAATAAACTGTTGCCAGATGTTCTCTCAATTTTAACTCCAGTGTGAATTCACACAAAGAGGTCTAATGCCCTTTATTGCTTTGGTCAGAGATGAAGAGGGGTTGATGGGGAAACTTCTTGCCCACTCAGTAAAATGGGATCCAAGAACATGATGCCTTTTATCCACTTCTAGTTTTCTCTAAATTAAACACTACACTGTGCATTTGTTTTCTTTTGTTCTCAAGAAATAACCAGCTGACAGTGAGTATTTATTATCAGATTCCTATAGTGTAAATAGTGTTTCCTGACCCCATTAGGCAACAACCTGCAGGTGGAAACTGCAGAGCAGGCAAGTTTAGGCAGGATGTGTCTTCTAAAACATTGAAAGGCCTTCCTCACCTCTAAATCCTCCCCAGGGACTTGCTCTAATCTAGCTAAAATGTTCCTAAACATTAAACTGTTGATGTCACTAGTAGGTTAGCCAACCAATATGGGGCTTTTGCTGTCAGAAGGCCCCTGGTAAAGTACACATGGAACCATAGGCCCAGCTGGGGAGTAACCCCTCTCTGGAAGATTGAGACCCCACAAATCCAACAAGACCAAAGGGGGGTGGAGGGAGAAAAGCAAGCACAGGTGTGTCCTGCCACTTGATGCTTAGGTGTGCACACACATGCTGTGCTACACCCAACTCACTTATCCAGATAAGCAGCAATGGGTCCCCAGGCAGCAGCCATTTGAGCACACAGTGAATCATCTCTGGGACACTGGATATCTTGAAATTAAGAAAATGTCCTTTCCCCCATACTTCTTCCTTTTAAAGCCTAGGAGTCTGACTGTCATTTACTCTGTTTTTCATAACCAGGAAAAGTTTTCCCTAGGTCCTGAGAAAGAAAAAATCTCAGAGGTGTTTAGTACAGCCCAACCTGCATTCCTCAGTATGTCAGATATTTATACATATTGGTGATGAAATTTCCAGCTGGGAGAGGCGGGGGGTGGGGGGAAGTGCACCCCCCAACCCCACATACTACAGGCTGATGGGGAAATCACTGGCCGGGGTGCTGTGCCATTCAGTCAAGCCGAATAGCTAGCTGCTACTCCCATTACTGTTCTTTAGCCTCTCCATGTACCAGGGAAGGGATTAGTGGAAAGATACTTGGGAAACACTGAAAACTATCCTGAAGGCCTACAAGAGAGGAGAGATGAAATTTGGTGGGGAAGCATGATAGCCCTGGAAGGAAGGTGACAGAATGAGGTGCTGAACATAAACCCTCTGTAGCGTGCTGTGTCCTTACTGTTTAGGGGTATCTTTGCTGTCAGATCTTCCTACTGAGCCCAACTAGCAAATGACAGGGTTTCTGGGTCAGAAATCCCATGGATTTGATTTAAACTAATCTCCAGAATACTCTTCTCTCATCACTGGCAAGATTTCAATGAGCAATAAAGAGATTTATGCTTGAGGATATGTCTTATGTGAAATACAGTAACAGGAAGCCCTTTCTCACACTGTTAATGTCCCCCTAAGGCATACCTGCAGCTCTGAACTGTCACAGCAAGGGCTGTAGGCAGCATTTTGAGGGGATCACAGTGCACAATTGTATACAATGGGTCAGATACATAAGATGTTTAGTGCAAAAATGCTCTCTAAATTCACTATGGCTTGCCAAATTAATTCCTATAAACAAAGGAAAAGAAATTCAATTCAGTTCAATAAGTCTAATTATGCTTATGAATTTTACAAGGTAATTACTCAAAACAAAAAAATGAAAATGGTGAAGGTTTAAAAATTACAGTAGGACTTAATGAAGAACCTGAATTTGAAATTATGTTTGATTTCTATTTTTATAATAACTACCATTCTTTTTATCAATGAATATTCATTGATACCTACCTTAAGAACAAAGCTCTGTGTTTATGTTGGGAAAGACTGGTCTGGATATATTTAGGATCTGAGGAGCAGGCTCATCAATTTAAGATCTATCTGCTGGGGCTTAAGAGGTTTCTAGGAAATAAATGTTACTTCTATCCCTCTGGCCCAAGTACATGACTCATCTGTGGCAAAAAGCAAAAATACAGTTGGATGTCATATGATATTTGTATTCCTTTTTTTAAAAATATATTTTATTGATTATGCTATTAGTTGTTCCACTTTCCCCCCTTTATTCCCCTCCACCCTGCACACCCCCTCCCACCTACATTCCCCCTACCCCACCCCTTTAATTCATGTCCACGGGTCATATATATAGGTTCTTTGGCTTCTACTTTTCCTATATTATTCTTAACCTCCTCCCCCTGTCTATTTTCTATTTACCATTTATGCTACTTATTCTCTGTACCTTTTCCCCTTCTCTCTCCCTTCCACTCCCCTGTTGATCACCCTCCATGTGATCTCCATTTCTGTGGTTCTGTTCCTGTTCTAGTGTTTGCTTAGTTTGCTTTTGTTTTTGTTTTAGATGTGGTAGTTAAGAACTGTGAGTTTACTGTCATTTTATTGTTCATATTTTTCATCTTTTTTCTCTTAGATAAAGCCCTTTAACATTTCATATAATAAGGGCTTGGTGATGATGAACTCCTTTAACTTGACCTTATCTGGGAAGCACTTTATCTGCGCTTCCATTCTAAATGAAAGTTTTGTTGGGTAGAGCAATCTTGGATATAGGTCCTTGCCTTTCATGCCTTTGAATACTTCTTTCCAGCCCCTTCTTGCCTGTAAGATCTCTTTTGAGAAATCAGCTGAGTCTTATGGGAATGCTTTTGTAGGTAACTGTCTCCTTTTCTCTTGCTGCTTCTAAGATTCTCTCCTCATTTTTACCTTGGGTAATGTAATTATGATGTGCCTTGGTGTGTTTCTCCTTGGGTCCAACTTCTTTGGGACTCTCTGAGCTTCCTGGACTTCCTGGAAGTCTATTTCCTTTGCCAGATTGGGGAAGTTCTCCTTCATTATTTGTTCAAGTAAGTTTTCAGTTTGTTGCTCTCCTTCTGGTACCCCTATAATCCAGATGTTGGAACATTTAAAGATGTCCTGGAGGTTCTAAAGCCTCTCCTTATTTTTTTGAATTCTTGTTTCTTTATTCTTTTCTGGTTGAATGTTTTTTTCTTCCTTCTGGTCCACAACATTGATTTGAGTACCAGTTTCCTTCCCATCACTATTGGTTCCCTATATATTTTCCTTTATTTCACTTAGCATATCTTCATTTTTTCATCTAATTTGTGACCAAATTTAACCAATTCTGTGAGCATCCTGATTACCAGTGTTTTGAACTGTGCATCTGATAGGTTGGCTATCTCTTCGTCGCTTAGTTATATTTGTTCTAAAGATTTGATCTGTTCTTTCATTTGGGCCATTTTTTTTTTCTCAGCGAGGCTGCTATGTAGTTTGGGGCAGAGCCTTAGGTGTTCACCAGGGCAGGATATCCCTCATGGCTGACTTGTGACACTGTATGAGGGGGAGAGGGAACAAAGGTGCCTGCTCCACTCTCTGCCAGTTTTCAGTCACTTCCCCCCGCTACCCACAAGGAAATTGGGCCCTTCTGTTGCTGATTCCTGGTGGGTGAGCTTGTGTACATCCTAGGACCCTGTGGGTTTCTCCAATGAATTTTCCTGTGAAGCTGGGAGTTTCTTCCACTGCTGCTGCCTCAACCCCCACAGGTGTTTTCAGTGAGTGGCTTGAGGCTTTATTTCCCCGCGCAGAGACCCTGGGTTGTGCTGTCTGTCTCACTCCCTAGTTGATCCTCCTGGTTTATCTGCATACAAATATGGGACCGCCATCTCCACTAGCTGCTGCCTTGCTGGCCAGCCACTACCTTGCTGGGAGTCCTCTCCACCTGCCTGGGTATCTCCAACCCTCCTACTGGTCTGGGTGAATATTTCTTCTTTAATTCCTTGCTTGTGGGACTTCCATACAGTTTGATTTTCTATCAGTTCTGGTTGTTTTTTGGGTTTTTTTGCTTTTAAATTTTTGTTGTCCTTCTTTTGGTTGTGTGAGGAGTCACAGTGTGTCTATCTATGCCTCCATCTTAGCCAGAAGTCCGATGTTTGTATCCTTTTGATGCCCCAGTGATAAGTTTACTCTAGGGCCAAGATTCACACCTGACCCAAGTCTCATTGTTAACCATGAACCAAGACATTCAAATTGTTCAAAACCAGTTTGAACAATTGTTTTTTTATGAGAAAAAAAATGGCACAGTTGTTAATTAGACAAGACTTTATAAAATATTCTTTAGAGATACAAGCTTTAAAAGCATAATTTCTTTTTCTAATTACATTTATTGGGGTGAGAATGGTTAATAAGATTATATAGGTTTCAAGTGTACAGTTCTGTAATACAGCATCTTATTATTGTGTTGTGTGCCCACCACCCAAAATCTAATCTTCTATCACCATGCATTTGACCCCCATTATCCTTTACTATCTCCTATCCTCCTTCCCTATGGTAACCACCATACTGTTGTCTGTGTATATGAGTTTTTGTTTGTTTTTCTTGTTTGTGTTTCTTGTTCATTTGCTGCTTTAAATTTTAATTCCACATCTGAATGAAATCGTATGGTTCTTAACTTTTTCTATTGACTTATTTCACTTACTGTGGTACTCTCAAGATCCATTCATATTTTTGCAAATGGCAGTGTTGCATCTTTTCTTAT